CCCATGGTAGCATTTTGGAGTGGCTATGGGGATGGTGCTGAGTGCCATGTGGCAGAGTGAGCTCCCATCACTTGCCTCAGCTTCTGCCCACCTAACAGTTAAAAGACATGCTACGTGTTACTAGATAAATAGGTACTACTTCAGTGGGAAACATGGCAGCTTTTTGTGTAGACAGTCAAACCCAGGCCAGAGATGGACCTGCCTGGATGCAATGCCAAATTGCAAGGCAAAATTGTTTGAGAGAAGACTTCAGATGATGTCATAACTTGCCATTTTTCTTTCTTCATGCAAACCTAGTTGTCCTCTGTGGCATATCATGGATTGCGCATGAGTGCGAACTAAACATACTTGCCCTCTTTAGCAGCCAAATAACTATTATGTACTAACATTGTGGTCTCCTGGTTAATTGTATCATAAGCTAAATAAATCAATACATTATGAAACACAGTGAAAGAATAATTAAACAATCAGATATCAATATAACATGGCTTCTCCCTGATAGAAGATTGTTATCAGAAAGCAAAGTATGTCATCATTTAACTAGATAGGACTGTCAAACTCCCGGCCCGTGGGCCAGATGCATGACGCACTGGTCATGCCCACATCTATTTTAGCAAAGGAAAAAAGTTCCGATACATCACGTGACACCACCATGACGATATGAGTTTGACAATCCTGAACTATATGGTCCATATGGGATCGCAGTGGATCCTAAACACTATTATGTGTAAAGTTTTCAATCAATCTTCATTGATAATGTGTATCTGTAGAAAAAAAAAATTATTATGGTACAAGGCTTTAAAGATTGGCTCTTGTTATGTATGTTTCAGTAAGTTATAAGTTATAATATTATCTTTAAATAAATTGAATTAACATGCTTAACAAACAACCACAGAACTTACCGATGGAGTTGGCAAATTTAATTGCAGCCAGTAAAAGAGGACTAGCCATAATCTCAATACTAAAAAACAACAGGCATCAGTTCTGATACTTTCAGCCAGGTTTGCTATGCTCTTTTTTATTTTACTTTATTGTATCAAACTAAAGAAGAGTAAAAAAATATATAAAAGAAATAATAACAACAATGGTGATATACTCTATCCCACTAAATCATCAACATAAGTTATTTCTTCTATTTTCAGGTCCTGCTGTCACCAAACTGCCACCTGGTAGGTATTTGCTTAAATTCCTATTATTACTTAAAATCAAATTTTACCCCATAATTTAAGGGGAAATAGAACCATTAAAGTCTTTACCAGAAACACAGAGAAATAAAATTCATCTAACTTTCTTTTCTTTCTTTTCAATGAAAGCAAAATTTGTGAAATAAAATGAGTTTTTATGCTATGTATGTGATGCAAAGATGGGACTTTTGCCTTTCAACAAATCATTCAAAGAAAGTGAATGTAAGAAAAAAGATTACCGTATGTTCTTGATTTAAATAAAACGAAAGCATTGAATTATGAAATGTTTTGTGAGATAACATAATAAATAAGTAAATAAGTATTTATGGAGTACTTAAAATTGTGTTTAAACACTACTGCTAGTGTGTTTAATAATTGGAATCCAAATTAATTAGGTTAACTAGTAGAAAAGCAGTATCATGAAGTGGTTTGATCAAAGAGAATGAACAAGAATTGAATTAGAAAACAAATATATGTAGGAAGAACAGATAGAGAGAAAGTGGAAAACCAAGAGAATAGCTGGGTTTTTTCAGCATTATTTTTATCACTATACAGCTATGATAGATAAGAACTTCTTCAGTCTCTGAGTCATATAACTATACAATTTCTGTTTTTGTCAGACCTTTCTACAACTCCCACAGATATGACTACAAAGGAAACAAGAGGTATTTATTATATGCCTGAAGTGGATTTGCATTCTTATAATGAAGAATGCAATGAATATTGAAACAATAAACCTATATCATTTCCAGTTGTTCACAATGGTTGCTTAAATGCTGGTTGCAAATTGTTTATTGTACCACATTGGAAATAGTATACATGTGAAGATGTCAACTAGATCTGGGGAGATCCAGGTTCAGGCCCACCATGAGAACTCATGGGGTAACTTTGAGCCAATCATTTCCTCTTTACCTAATTCACATGATTTTAAGATAAAAGGAGGGGTGTGCTTCATCTGTAGGTCAATCCAGTGTTTGAACCATCAAACTCATGGTCATCAACATTACCAAGTCATATACTTGGTGATGTTGGTGAAAAAAGAAATGTCATATCAATGAGCCACTTTATACCTCCTTTCTAATCTCACACCCATTTTATGGTATGGTGAGATGAAGGCGGTTGGAATTCTGCAAAGCACATATAAATCCAGTTATATTAACTGAATTCAGTTACGGAACTGAAATATCCAAAGAGATCGTGTGATTTTCCACCATACCATGGAACCACTTCTATCCTCACAGAAAAATAATCAGACTTGAATAAAATTGACTAACATTAATGTATTATATTAATATGTTACATTGGTGAAACAGAATAGCAGAGGTGATTCCTCCCGATTTATCTAAAAGGTCAAATCATAGCAACTGGACCAAAGTTTATTGAAACTGAAAGGTTTCATTACTCATCCAAGTCATTTCTTTAGTCAAAATGAAATTATTTAACCTTGTTAGATACTTTTGGCCTGAATGATTGAATCTTCATTTAGACCTTCTCTTAGAAATAAAAAATTCTAGAAATTAGATATCTCCGGTGAAATGTTCGTATTTTGTTACATGTTCAAACGAAATGAAATGAAATAAAGTTCAAAGTTACCTCTCAAATACACAAAAAAAATGTGAATGATCCAAGAGAATGACCAAAGATTTGTAGATTAGGCAGCAACTGTGGCCAGCCCTAAACACGTATCTTCTTAAATCCATTAAGCCCCATTCATCTAAAGGGGAACACAGGTCACAATATCTAGTTGTACACACAAATACACATGCATGCCCACAGATACACAAAGGCATTTATCTGACAAAAAAAAAAGCCAGGTTGGGAATACTGAAATGCCTTTTTAAAATGAACCCTCAAAAGTCAATGCAATGTGCCATTGGGAAAAAATGATGTCTGTGTCCTTTTAACGATTGCAGAAATTGCATTGGTAATGACAAACTCATTGACTATAAGGTTGATGAATGGGAAAAACAGATGCCAGGGTCGCCTTAAATTTTTTTACAATGGGAACTGGGGAATTAAGCATACTAGTTTCACTGTGAAAGCACTGTCAATGCTGTAAATAAATATTATATAAACTATTCTTTCTGATTTTAATAGAAAGACTTACAAAACATTCCTGAGAATAATTAAAATTATTCTGTAGAGAAACATTAAACTATCAGATTCTTGTGTCTGTTTTCCTTTTTTTTTCTTCATGTATCAAATTAAACTTTTTTTTTCCTTTTGGTTTCTGTAGCTCCCACAAAAAATGCATCAGAAGTGCCAAGTATTTTACATTTGAATCAGTGATGGGATTCAAAAATTTTACTACCGGTTGTGTGGGCGTGGCTTGGTGGGCGTGCCTGGAGAAGGATACTGTAAAATCTCCAGAGCTGGTATTGGCCGGTTCTCCGAAGTACTCAAAATTTCCACTATCGGTTCTCTAGAACTGGTCAGAACCTGCTGAATACACCTCTGATTTGGATCATTTTTTAAATTAACTCAATCTCTGTATTTTAGTGCAAACATACATGCACATATTTAATATGTGCATTATATGTTGCATTATAGAACCTCTGATCTGATGTTTGAAAACTAATATATGTAGGAAGAGCGAACGGATAGAGAGGAAGTGGAAAACCAAGAAAATAGCTGGTTTTTTCCCAACATTATTTTTATCTTTATACATCTATGATAGCAACGATATTCAGCAAAATTCCTGAATCATGTAACTATAAATTTCTGTTTTTTTCAGATCTTTCTACAACCTCCATGGATCTGACTACGCAGGGAATAAGAGGTATTTATTATATGGTTAAGTGGATTTGTATTCTTGTAATAATAATAAATATTGTAACAATAAACCTACAACACTTCCAGCTGATCGCAAGGGATGCTGCCAACCAAGGGTTCCAAAACAGAACTGCAGAGTTGATTCCTCACTCTTTAGAAATGAAGAATTCTAGAAATTAGATATTTGATGCATAAGTACAATCTGTATTTGTTTTCCTTTGAAGAAAAATCTCTGAGACTGGTGAATGGAGAA